GGCATATTATTTGCTTTCTCTCTTTTTTCTTTTTTCTGTTTGTTTCTTCTTTCTTGTGGTTTCTCCCATTGGTACTAATTCTTCTTTACAATGTGACTAACATGAAAATAGTTTCAATATGAATTTATATGTACAGCCTATATCAAACTACACACCTTGTGGTGGGGGGAGGGGAGAGACAGGGAAAAAATTTGGAACTCAAAATCTTATGGAAGTGAATGTTGAAAATGAAAAATAAATAAATATTATTTTTAAAAAAAAGAGTATAAAGATATCCTGAGACCAAAGGGTTGAGAATTACTGCTTTAACTAAACTTATGTATTTTAGATAAGAGGAATGGAATACTCTACCCCTATCTACTTTATATGTTATAAGAGTGCATTGATTGATAGAATTTCTCATCTGTACAGATGATTTGAGAGAGGGGAAGGTGCAATAGAATTAGTTTATATGTTCCTTTTACATTTATGCCCATGTTATCAAAACCTATATTGTCACTACATCCTCCTTTAGTTAACTTTATTAAGAAGCCACTTTGGAGAGAAACATTTAGTTGAGTTGGGGTTCAGAGCTAAATATAGAGAGCAGATTTCATATTTTAATATTTTGAGCAATATTCCATTTTGCCTCCTAGATCAAATTGACACCCAGCCAATGAGGGGCTAAGAAAAACTGTCAAGGTCACATGGATTTGGTGGTGGTTGTGAGTATCTGCCTAGGTGTTAATCGGCCAACAACTCTTGTGGCCAATGGAAATACTGCAGTCTCTTAGAAAATGGTTATTCTTCAGGATAGCACCAGAGAGTAACTAATAAGGCCAGAAATGGTATTTAAGTAGACCACCATCATGTGGGCAACTGAGACATTTAAATTAGCTATCTGAATTCCATTGAGGGATATAGCTGGGCTTAAGGAAGGCAGTGCTCAAATCATATAATTAAAGGGCTCCATGTATAGGTCAATGTCATACAAGCAAAAAAAAAAAAAAAGATCTGGTATTCAAATCCAGGTCTTGTAGTAAGTAGGTATTTCTTACTAATCTATAGGTCAAGGAGTATGGACTTTATATGGTAGACATAATTGTAAATTCCTGAATCTGGTGAAAGTGGTTTTAAGAAAATTCATCTGGTAGGAGTATAGAGAATAGATTAGAATAGGGAAAAACTAGAGTCAGGAAGACTTTAGCTAAGAAGTTATAGTCATAGTTGAGGCATGAGGTCATAGGGCCTGAACTTGGGTAAAGACAATGGAAATGGAGAGGAACAAATAGATAAAGGAGCTATTTTGAGAAAAGAACAAAATGACTTGGTGGCATAAGAGAAGTAAAGGATGAAGGAGTACTCCAAAGTAACAGAAGGGAATCCAACCTGGGAGAAAAGGAAAAAATTTAGTCATTGATAGAAATAAGGAATTTGGGTTGGAAGTTTATTTGGGGGATAAAGTTGGGAAGTTTAGTTTTGCACAAGTTTGTTGAGTTTGAGGTTATGGGGAAACATCAAATTTTCAAACTAGGAAATATATATAGCACTGCATTTTGATGGAGATGCTACAAATGTTTCAAAACTGGAATTTCTGGGAAGGATTGTGCTTCTTGGACATCTCCTTCACAACACAGACTACAGGGTGTCCAATTAGAACTACATGTGAAAATACATAACTTTGGGAGTCTTCAACACTGAGGTCAAAGCTGAACCTATAACAACAGATGGAAGCAAATATAAAGCAAGAAGAGGCAGCTAGAGAGTGCTGGACTTGAAGTCAAGAAGACCTAAGTTCCAATTCTGTTTTAGACATTTACTGGGATGCATGACCCTACTAAGGAATTCAAACAGCTAATTCAAATATCTAAGTTGCCTACATGTTGGTCTACTTAAATACCATTCTTGGACTTATCTCAGCCTGCCTCAATTTCCTCATAGGGATAACTATAACACCTCCTTCACAGGGATGTTTCAAGGACTAAATGAGATAACGCATGTAAAATATTTTGGAAGCTTTAAAGTGCTAGTTACTATTATTAAATAGTAAAAGAAAGAAATACCACTTTCTTCCTATTACTACCAATATTATTTTTTAAAACTAATCCTGGATAATACATTCAAGCTGCCTAGGGACAATAATTCTATTATAAATGAATTACTCAGTTACCCAGAGAAATCCCTGAACTTTATTTTTGTAGCTGATTCTTTTTTTAATTTTAATTATTTTTAATTTATTAAAAATTGTTTCTAGATTCTTTTTTAGATCTGTTTTCTTTTTAAAAAAATTTTTTTTAGTTTTATCATTTTTCCCCTAATAGTACTTGTATTGCCTGAGCTTGGAAACACAATTATTAGTTATAGGCACAGAGGGTGAGGTTTTTATGTCCAGATGTTTGCCTTCAAGATATGTTCTCTAGCCTCCACTCCCTGGATCATTAACCTTTCCCTTCAAATGGGAGGGAAAGCTGGGGCTGGTTTCCTACACTGCTCCTCCTACCTCTCTGCCCTTGCCATCCCAGCAGCAGGAATTTGAACACTATGTTCCCTGATAATGCCAATGCTTCTTTTCACTAACAGGAACTTCCAGATCTTTTCAGTGCTAGATTTGAAAGCAGGAAGACCAGAGTTCATATGCCTCTGATACTATGCCACTTTGGACAAATTGCTTAACTTCTGAGCCTCAGTTTCCTCAGCTGTAAAATGGGATACCTGTAGTTCCTACCTTGGGGATGATTGTAAAGCTCAAATAAGATAATCCATGTAAAGTGCTTTTTAAACATTAAAGCATTCTATAAATGCCAATCATTGTTGTTCTAGGAATAAGAATGGGACTTGTGATTTTATTGACATAGAGAACCCCCATTTGAGGAAATTCACTCCACTAATACAGATTGCTACCTTCTCTGCAGAAATCTGCCCAAGAGCACAGTTAGTGACCTGCCCAAGGTCACACAGCTAGTATGTATCAGAGGCAGGATCTGAATTTCATTCCAAGACCAGTTCTCTATCCACAGAGCTAAACTGCCCTCTTATTACTATTTTTGTTTTACTATAATACAGAAGTGGGATTAGTCAGTGAACCCAGTCCTTATAATGATATGGCATGCCCAGCTGATGCAATCCCAGCAGACACTTTGGAGCATGTGCAGACTTTGTATAAATGGTTCTGGCCTGCTAACTATCTGATGAAGATGAGACTTTTTGATTGGTTGTGGAGCTGAAGTAGGTTGCATTCAAAAGGCATTAACTGGCCAAAGTGAGTTGTTCTCCTCTGCGGCTACTATCGAGTAAGTAGGTGGGCCTCTAAGATGCTGGCCAGACTGGAAGACAAGCCACGGTGGCTAGTTAGTACCTTTTGTATGCACTCTACTTCTGGCTTCATAGCCAATTTAAAAAGCTGCTTTTCACCATGGAGCTAGGAGACCAGAACCAATTATAGAAAGTCTATGCGTGCTCCAAAGTCCACATGGAGATTACATCAACTCATCATGCTGCACACGCTCATAAGAATTCAGCTAATTGGCCAATTTCACTCTCCTATTTCAGTAGGAGTAGGAGTAGGAGTAGGAGTATTCCCACACAGATCTAATTCTGTATAAGATTTGCAGGGGGAAGAAAATCCCACTCTATTGCTCACCTCCTGTGGCTGTAGAAACTGTCACCAACCAAGCTCCAACCATGATTTCTAGAGGGCTGGAGATCCCCAGGGGCCATTTCCAGAAAACAGTACTATCAAGGAAGGGGGCTGCAATTAGGATTGAAGAAGGGTTCGTACAGGGATTTCATACAAACGTGACGCCAAGAACAACAGCAAAGCATATTGAAAGGTGTAACTCGGCGGAGGAGGAGAAAGAATTTTCAGCTAGGACCTGAAAAAGGCCAGTGAACCTAAAGTACCACTATGATTATTACAGCACAAAAATGGATAAGTTTCAGGGCTAGAAAGGGAATGGAGAGGACACTTTAAATGAAAAGAGATGAGGCTAGGCATTGCATGAAACTTGGGAGAGCTGGTGGTTTTGGCAAACTATAATGTAATGGATACAATAGAAATTTTAAAATGGAAGGAAAGTTTCGTTCTAGGCACGGAACATTCTAAATGGACTAGAAATTAGAGAGTGGCAAGTTTTTGTCACAGGCTAACCACAAACTGGTAGAGAATAAAATTTCCCCTGCCACAGTTTTTCTTTTATAAAACTGAGAGTAAAATGAAATCTTCAATTTTAGAAAAATAGAAAATGACAATCATAAGATGAAAAAGACTAATCCAACACTTTAAAGGAAAGACAGTCACGAATAAATGCTCCTGTACTAATAGCATTAAAAGATTTAGTGGATATGGTGGTATGCTTACAAATTGGGTAGACAAAATTAGATTTAGAACATGCTACTTTTATCCTCAAAGCCAAGGATAGTGTTTCCACTTTGAAACCATTAAGCCAAGTGAAAAAAAAAAAAAAGCCAAGTAGGAGGTAGCTTTCATAACATTACAATTTGCAAGTTATTCACATTATAAGGCATCAAATGTTTGATTTTCATGTAAGAAAAACAAAAAAAATTTCTAACAATTCAGACCATTGGGACACATATGATCATCCTCATCTCAGTCTCTCAGTCTCGGTCTCTCTCACACACAAACACACACACACACACACACACACACACGTATCACAATACAGCATAAGAGTAAAAACACTCACTAAAATACATAACTGACCCAACAATGTCTTCCAGCTCTATGTCTTTGATCATATGGTCCTATGACAACATGTGTACCTATGTACATGAACACATATGTACATCAAAATGCCATATGTAGCAGTAAACACATAACAACATATTCAAGTGAACTCATAGCAACATAACTTCACAAAAGTCATTCTTTTTCCTCTCCCCAAGCTATACACACTAAGACTCCTCTGTTCCTCTTTTGAATTGACCAAGTGATAAACAATATTTTAACAACGTCTTTGGCCCCTTCAGCCAAGGAACTCATTGTCCACAATGGCTGGTGATACCTGTGTTCTTGCTCTCTGGTCTCTGAGCAATGGTTAGAGCTTGGGAATGCAGGCTTAGGGTGGTCTCCCCATCATCATCCAGCATGTCCAATGTGCTGTTATATTTTGCCTGCATCTGAATCCTTAGAGATGAGGAACAGCTACGGTGTTTATTCTCCAGCTGCCTAGGGTGTTGTCAGGCAGATCAACGCTGCATGAGAAGGAAAAAACATTCCTAATGCTCTGTGCTGCTGGCTTCAGTTACTGAGGAAGTCACCGACCCCTGTTCCTGAATGGAGAGGCCCAGCCCTTCTCCTGTGTACTTGTAGCAGTCAGAGTGAATGCCAAAGAGTCAAGCTGAAGGGAAATCATTTTTTTTTCCTCCTGTTTGGACCGTCCCTTACCAAGCTCTCAGTGAGGGGGCTGACCATCTTGGATCATTTTTGTTTTTCAGTCTTTCCCCTTGCTAGTAAAGGCATTGTGAAATTTAATTCTTTGTGCCATAACAGATTGGCCCTTTCAGACACCACAGCTGTGGGGTGGAAAGGAAGAACCTACGTTGTTGGAGTCTGCAGGGAACCTTTGAAGCAAAGGCCAAGTTAAAGTCTCAAGAGACCTCGACAGTAAGTCAGTCAACAAGCATTTATTAGGGTCTTCCTTCTTGCCAGGTACTATACTATGCACTAGGGACATAGACAAAGGCAAAAACACCATCACTTCCCTCAAGGGAAGAAATTACATTACAATGGGGAAGAAAACATGTAAAAAATGATACACACAAGATACATAATCTCAGAGGGTAGGCAGTCATTTAATTAACATTCATTGAGTGCTTGTTATGTGCCAGGCACTATTCTAAGTGTTAGAGATACAAAAAAAAAGACAAATACAGTCCCTGCTTTCAAAGAGTTCACAGTCTGATGGAGGAGCCAACATGAAAGCCAGTTATGTACAAACAAAGTATATTCAGGATATATTGGAGATGATTAATACAGAGAAGCTGGAGCTGGGAGAAGAACCACCAGGAAAGGCCTGTGAATGTAGCTTGGATTTGAGCATGAAGGAAAGTAGGAAAGTCAGGAGGCAGAGGTGAGGAGGAGAGCATTCCACAGTTAGAAAAGTCACTGGAAAGACATGAAGTCAAGAGGTGAAGTTTTGTGTGTGTGAAGAATAGCAAGGATACAGCAGGGCCGGATCAAAGAATTCATGGAGGGCATGAAGCATAAGAAAACCGGGAAGATCAGAAGGGGCCAGGCTAAGAAGAGCTTTGAATGCCAAACAGAGGACTACATATTTGATCCTGAGGTAATGAGGATCCATTGGAATTCATGTGAGCAGAGAATGTATGAGAGAAAGGAAAGACTTCATTTCAGAGACTTCCCAGGGAGTCCCATGTCGTCTTCCCTCTAGGCCACACAACTGTGGCCTCAGTCCCAAGACCCAAGGTCTCCCCAGGCATCCAGAGGCTTTTCTCTTATTTGACCCAAGTAGAATCAGCGATTGTGCACTGTCCAGACTCCCCCAGGCCATGCTTTGATCTGCTCCTGCCTTGTGTGAGTCCATTGTCCTGGGCCTCACATGACTATATAGCACTACCTGCCAAAAGGCCAGACTTTGAGGAAAGGCCTTGAACAGTCTAATCCCATGCCTCCCACAGTGAACTCCTCTCCAGCCTCTAATACTCTCCTTATTATCGCCTTGTCATATGTCCTCATCACAGTGAATCTAAGCGTCTGGTTATAAAAAATACTATTCCACACCACCCATGGCCCACTCCATTACTTCCATTTTCCTTAACTATACCCCTCAAAATGTTCCATTCCAGAACTACTCACTCCTTCCACTGTGGCCTCTGGAATGCCTGCTCCATAATAAACACATTTGCTTTCATCTTAAACTTTATGCCTTTTCTCTTCTCACGCTGGCCATCTTCTGGCCAGACCTGGTGGGGTATATGAGGTAGGCAGGGAGGACTAGCACCTCTGATGTGAGGGCTTGCTGAGCTCTTTTCAGAGCTGCTCACCCACCTTAGGTGTCCACCTTTCCCCCAACTCTCACCTGTGGTTCCAAGAAGCATGGGCAGTGACCACACCCTGATAAACTGTCTCAGAAGATAGGCTAAACCAAGTTAAGGGTAACTGACAGGCCTCAAACCCATCAGTGAATTAGTGGGGTTGTCTACCCTAAGCATGTAAAGACTTGCCCTGGTGGAATGGGTGGATAAGAGCAATTCATTCCAATAGCCATGAAGGTGACTGAAGCAGGCACTGTGTAGCATTTAGAACTTGGTCAGACATCAAAGACTCCAAGGTCATGCACTGCATCCTGGGCCATCACCAGTCATCCTGACTTTTGTCCTGCCACTGGACTTTGATGATTCTGGAAGAGAGAGCAAGGCTGACGACTTTGTGCAACCCTGCCTCACTAAAATCCAACTCACACACAAGTCGAGACATCACCCTCATGATATCATTGGTATTCTTCAAAAACAAAGGACAAAAAAACAAAAATTGAGACGGGTCCTCTCCTGATGACACTGTATCCCTTACTACCCTTTCCAGCACTGATTATATGTTCACTCATATTCCCTGACTCAGCAGTAGAGGCAGGAGAGTTGGAATACACTCTGCTTCCCATTGTCACTTCTAAATTCTTACTCTGCCATCATCATTCAGTAACTTCTCCTGTGAAGTTCATTCCATCCAAAGTCATCACCCAATCAATATTCTGGCAGCTGTTATCTATCCATCAGGACAATCTCCTTCTTGCTTCAATGAGTTGAATGCCTGGCACCCTAACTTCTACTCTCATACTAGGGGACTTCAGCATATGTCGAACACCCTAACCTTCCCGGTTCCTCAATCTATTGAATTCCCATGAGTTACTCCTTGACTTCACTTCAGCTACATGCAGAAATAGCCATATTCTTGATTATACCATCACTTAGAAGTGATTTCCGTGTTCAGAAATGCTTAAATTCTTTTTTCAGATCATAATCTTTTATCATTCATCTTTCCCTTTGCCTAAAGCCCTTTACCCTTTTCTTTGACCTCACAATGATCTCTAATCCCTTCGCCCTTCACTTCCCTTCTTTCCTAGGCCAGCACTGCTTCAATGACAATTCTCTCCTCCCTTTTGTATCCCTATGCCTTGGTAAATTCAATTCTACATTGTCCTTTACACTGAAGTCCCTTTGCCCTCTTACATCATGCTCGGCCAAGCCCCAACCTGACATTGCTCCCACCATCTCTTGTCTTCATTCCTACTCACATATTGATTAACAGATTGGAAAAAATTACAAAACTACACTGATTGAGTCCACTACAAATTTATGTTATCTACTCTCAACTAGGCCCTCACTACAGCAAGGTAATTCTCTATACCTTCCTAATTGATTCACTATCCCACTCAATAAAGCGATTCCAAACCTTTTCACTCTTCCTCAGCCCTCACATAGCACCCTTCCCCTCAACCTCTCAGCTGAACACCTTGTCTTATACTTCACTGACAAAATTGAAACCATTCGCAAAGAGCTCCCTCTTCTCCACTCCTCCTCATCTAACATCATTAAAACATTTCCCCCCATTATCTCCTCCTTCACCCCTGTTTTCAAAGCATTCACTCTTGATCTTATCTCATCCCATCTTCCCCAGAATATTACCTTCTCTGTCATCTCCCTTTCTCACCAGTTTTTAATGTCTTTATCTCTCCTTATGGCCTAGCTCCTTGCCTGCTACCTACAAGGCATGGCCATGTGTCTTCTATCCTTTAAAAACCCTCACTTGATCTGAACATTCCCATTAATTATTCTCCCATGTCTCTCTTCTCTGTCAGGCTAAACCCTTGAGAAAGCCATATGGGTAGCATCTCCACTGCCTCTCCTTTTTTACTTCTAAATCTTCTGCATTCTGTCATTCCACTAAAACAGCTCTTCAAAGTTACCAATGGATCTCTTAACTGCCAAATCTAATAGCCGTTTCTTAGTCATCCTTCTTGTCTACCCTGCAGCCTTAAGCACTGTTAGTTAACCTCTTCTGTATAATCTCTCCTTTTTAGATTTTCATGGACCTGTTCCTTCCTGATTCTGCTCCAACCTGTTTGTTTCTCCATTTTCCTTTGTTGCATTTTGCTCCAGGTCAGGGCCCCAACCTATGAGTGTAGGCTCTGTCCAGGGCCCTCTTCTCTTCTCTCTCTACACTATCTCCCTTGGTGAGCTCATCAATTACCATGGGTTTAATTATCATCTCTATTCAGATAATGCTAAGATCTATTTATCTAGCTCTAATCTCTCCTGACTTCCAATCTTGTATCTTGAACTAGATGTCTAGTACATATCTCAAACCCAACATGTCCAAAACAGAACTCATTATCTTTCCCCCAAAACCCCTCTTCCCAGCTTCCTTATTGCTCTCAGAGGTACCAACCAGTCCCTTTCTCACCAACCAGTGTGATCCTTAATTTCCCAAACGAATTCCCTCTATCTAATGTGTTGCCAAGTCTTGATGTTTCTACCTTCACAGAATCTTCCTATATGTCCCTATCTCTCCACTCAGACAGTCACACCCTGATGCAGGCCCTCATTGCATCACAGCAGCACTCTTGTAATAGCTTTCCCATCTCAAGTTACTTCCATCCATCCTCTACTCAAGTGCCAAAGTGATCTTTGTAACACGTCACTTCTCTACTCAATGGATTCCAGTGGCTTTTTAATTACTTCCAATATTAAGGATATAATTCTCTGAGGCATCTGATGGTACAATGGATAAAGCACTGAGCTTAGAGTCAGGAAGACCTGAGTTCAAATCCAGCCTCAGAAACTTATTAGCTGTGTGATCCTGAGTAAGTCATTTAACCTCTGTTTGTCTCAGTTTCCTCAACTGTGAAATGGGGATAATAATAGCACCTACCTCCCAAGGTTGTTATAAGGATCAAATGAGATAATGTTTATAAAAAGCACTGAGCACAGTGCCTGGTACATAATAGCAGATATGTCTCTGATAAGGGCCTCATTTCTAAAATATATAGAGATTAAGTTAAATTTATAAGAATACAAGTCATTCTCCAATTGATAAATGGTCAAATGATATGAACAGGCAGTTCTCAGATGAAGAAATTAAAGCCATCTATAGTCATATGAAAAAATGCTCTAAATCACTACTGATTAGAGAAATGCAAATCAAAACAACTCTGAGGTACCACATCGTACCTATCAGATTGGCCAACATGACAAAACAGGAAAATGATAAGTGTTAGAGAAGATGTGGGAAAATTGGAACACTAATGCATTGTTGGTGGAGTTGTGAAATGATGCAACCATTTTGGAGAGCAATTTGGAACTATGCCCAAAGGGCTATAAAAATGTGCATACCCTTTGATCCAGCAATACCACTTCTAGGGCTGTATCCCAAAGAGATCATACAAATGGGAAAAGGACCCACA